GCTCAAAACATCATATTTAAATTAAATTTTTTTAACCTTCGTGTCAAAAAAGAGGAGTTGGGGAGTCGAGTGGAATATAGCTCCACTGTATAGAAAACACCATTTAGATTCAGGCATTATTTTTCAGACTTCAGGTTTGACTTGTCCTTTTTGGAAGGCTAAAGGCAGAGAAATGGTGGCTGGGCCACTTCCCCAGAGCTAGATCTATAGACAAGCTGTGTGAACACATAGGTGTGATCTTGCCCCAAATACTAATATAGTGGGGGTGTGGTTTATGTGACCCTCTTGTTTCTTTAAAAAGCTTTTCCTCCTCTCTTCAGAGCTAAAATAAAACCAACTACGCTGTTCAGATAAGGTCACCATCAGACGGTATCAGTTTGGCCTAGCTGGTTTTGCTGTGGTCATGCTGCACTCTCTTGGGAGAATAGGGATCAAGTTTTACATCTTCCTTCTTTTTTTCTGGAGTCTAAATGGCTAGATTTTTCCTTTTTTTTTTTTTCCTGCTCGCTACCCTTTTTTGGTGTTAAAAAAGTGATCTAAACCTGAGACTAATGTAAACCCTTGACCTTCTTGTTGCCTATACAGTTTTGTGCCAAGGAGATAACTGCCCCCAGTGTTTTATGTCTTGCCTTCTCTGAGTTGTTGGCGGAGCAGAGAGAAGCATTGAGCAGTCCCAGCTTCTTTTTATTAATCGCTTCTCTCTTCTCTTCTCCCCAGGACCTGATAAAAGCCAGGGAAGAGTCCCTGGGCTATGTCTGAACTTAACACCTGCGATCACTGGGGCGTGGGTGGATGTGTGAGGGAGTATGTGTGTGCATGCACAGGTGCTGGGAAGTTGTGGTTACTCTATATTCTGACTTACGGCAGTTTGACTCTGCACTTGGGGTCTGTCTGTACAGTTACCTGTGTCACTGTCATGATTTCACTCCTAACTGTGACATTTTTATCAAATGCGTGAATAAATACATAAAGATTGGTACAAAAGAGTGTTTGTCTTTGGACAAATGGAGGTGGGGAAATCTTGCGTGTTGGACTTATGATTTCTTCCTGATCATAAAGTTGAAAAGATTTTCTACTCCCAAGAGTTGGCAGGTGGATGCAGCAGGGCTTGTTCTTCCTTGGTAGGTAGTGGCTGACACACAGCTACCTAGTCTAGACACCTAGCCTTTTCCAGGTGACCAGTTTGGCAACTGGAAATAAAACACCTGTTTCTACTTCCCTATCTTGATCTAACCTATATATATCCTTTGCTTTTAAAGAATCAATTTGGAGGAAACAGTGCTAGAGCTTAGCAGATAGTAAAACTCAGGAGGGACTTGAGCAAGTGCAAGGTCTAGAGTTGAGGGCCAATTCAGCATCCTTGGTGGAGAGGCAGTTGTGCTGTAACACTTTGAACATAACAGGACTTTTGAGTTTATGTGTGATTTTTGCTTGGGGAAGACACTAGGTGAATACAAAAGCCCATCCAGCTGAACTGAGCCTCATAGGAGTACATGAGGCACATACCCGTGTGGTGCACGACTTCACATCTGATTTCAGAGAACCATCCTCATCTCCCAATAGCAACCTGCAGCCCTTCCAGTGGCCACCCTGGCCCTGCCCCTCACACCCCTGTATTTTTTTTCCTTTCAACCTTGTTTGTTTGTTTCCTCTATTCCCTCTTTTTCTCTCTCTCTGTTTTCTCTCACTTTGTCTTTTGTTCTCTTCTCCACACGGGGTGGTGAGCATGGGAGCTGGATGGGTGGGCCAGTGGGCTTCTCAAGCAAACTGCAGGTCTTTTTCAAGGTAAAGTGCTTGTTTTTGTATTAAAGTTTGAAAAATTTTATATACATTGAAAAGTTAACAGAATAGTTTAAAAACTACCTTATATACTCTTCCCTTGTTGGTTAGTGACGGCTTGCTGTGTGTGCCTTTTTTCTATATA